CCTTCCCGCACCTTCCCTTCCCTTCCCGCACCTTCCCTTCCCTTCCCGCACCTTCCCGCACCTTCCCTTCCCTTCCCTCCCCTCCAAACAGAAACTGTGTGAAGCCTGAAGGTCAATTCTGCAGCTCCAAAGCCTGAAGATCACACAGGATTTTGGGTACATAAGGAAGGAAATTTCTCGGAGGAATTTCAGTTGGAAGCTCCTCACAAGGTGGACAAAACCTATTACAAGCTGTCGTGGGGACAATGCCTGAATCATGTGGATTGGGACAATTTAGCCCAAGGCACTGGACTGAACTAGGAAGTGGCAAATTCCCAAGGTATCCATAGCGGATATCCATGCAGCAGCTGTTTCAATGGATTTTCCTGTTCCCGTTGTGCTGAAGCAGCTTCTAACAGACCAACAGATTCCCAAACAATCCATGGAAATAGAGGAAGATCAATAAAGCAAATACTCACTTAAAAAGTTCGTTCCTCATGATGGCTCTGTTGGTTTGTGGGTCGATGGCGTAGACCATGAGGTCAGACTTGGTGTAATCCTCCTCAGAATATCCATCCCCAAACCTCCGTGCTCCAATGGATTCCACCACGACTGTCGCCCCCGGAATCTGGTCCTGGACATAGCGTTCCAAAATCCTAAAGGGAAGACGGAGCTGGAAAGCTGCAGTAATTGATTTGTGCCGCTCACCACTGACCCCAGCCCAAATAAGGTACTGATAGGCAAAACCCATAGGATAAGAAGTATTTTGACCTTCAGAGCACTTTTAAAAAGGAATCGCTGCTCCACATAACCTCTGAAATGCTGAACTCCTGAGAAAAGCTCAGCAGTGCTCGGAGAGGTCTTCAGAAATTGTGTCCTTAAGTCGAGCTCTTTGTATTTATGACCCCAGTCAAGTTTTAAAATGGCTCATGAGAATCACCACCTATATTTCACACAAAATCCCCTTGTCAGCCTTTTATTAAGTTATATGATTCCAGCACTTCCATTCCAGCCTTCCACTGGGTGCATTCCATAAATTTTCACCCATAGAAACAACCACTTGAACAATTTTTGGTGGGATATTTCATCCAGTCCTCTGATAGCACACAACATTTCAGGGGCTGCAACACCTGCTGCTCCAAAAGGCACCAGGTTTTACAGGCAGGAGGAAGTTGGAATATTGGGCTGACACTTTTACCACAGGAAATAAAATCAAGTAAACTGCAGCAGGATTCCACAAGCAGGGGAAAGAAAGGCTCATAGAATTTAGAGATAACAACAATATCCACAAAAACAACAACAACCGTACTTGCTAAAGGTTCATGAGGTTTCCAACGTGGCACAAAGAAAGGTTTGCTCAAAGCCCACAGAAAGTTTTATAAAGAAGGGCATAAATGTAAATATCATCAACTCTGCACCAAAAAAAAAAGGAGGGAGAAATAAAGCAGAGGATTTGGAAGCATAAAGGTTCCATATAAACTTATAAGAAAATATTGGGCTAATTGATATGATCAGAAAATCACAAAGCAATAGCTGAGCTGTGAGGCAAAAGCAAGGGAACTACAAGAATATGTTGCCTGATCCATCAAGGATGCACCAGGGCGTGGAGGAAGACATGTCTCCCACAAAAAAAGGACATCAGTGACTTTAAAATGTCACAGTTAAAGTTTAACACAAAACTTTCTGCAGTTGCTGAGGTTGTATTTTTGCTGTTGTTTTTTTTCTGACACAAGATTTCCATCAGCTCCTGATTTTTCAAGACTCCTGATTCACATGTATCCAAGGAACATCTCTCTCTTTGTGTGGAAATTTAGTGTGCCCTGAAAACCCATTGTAAGCTTTTAAGTTTTTCTATAAGATCTTGAAAAATTCAAGTATGTCAGAGCCAGGTCATACCTGAGGAGTGAATACATAGAATTACTGCAGAGTAAACAGGGATACAGATTGGTTGACATGGTGCCTGTGGAGTGGTGTCCTCTGAACAAGCTCTCCTGTTGTTTGCAGATATGGAAAACTCTACTTATCTCTGCTTCTGGCATGCTCTGCACAGGCAGCCAAGGTGAGAACCTGTCACAGACACCTCAGCAACAATAACTCCCCCAGGGAAAACCTGACAGGACCAACTTGGGATATGGAGATTATATAAAATCCCACCAAATATCATGGGAGTGAAAATGGCTAAGAAAAAACCACAGCCATTCTTAGAAGGGTGTTCGGCACAAGGTGTCAGGCAGAACAAACATGTAAAGGACTTGCCTCCATAATTAGCATTTAATCATCTTCTCTTGCTGCAGGAGGAGATGCTTTTCATGGAATCACAGAATCCCATAATCCAAGCTGTGCCTGATCCCCACCTTGTCCCCAGCCCAGGGCACTGAGTGCCACGTCTAGCCCTTCCCTGGACACCTCCAGGGATGGGGACTCCAAACCTCCCTGGGCAGCCCCTGCCAAGGCCTGAGCTCCCTTGCCATGGAGAAATTCCTTCTGGTGTCCAACCTGAGCCTCCCCTGGCACAGCTTGAGGCCGTTTCCCCTTGTCCTTTTCTGTTTCCTTGTACAGAACTCTTATTACAATCAAGACAGAAATGCTCTGTCGGGTTGGAAAGTTATAATGTAGGGTCACTTCTGGCGGAATCAGTAACAACATTGCCTTTCCTCAGAAATTCCTGGCATCCTGCTGGAATTCATTGCCTTTGATAATATCCTTGTCTAAAACATTATTAAAACTGAAGAACAAACAGAATGTCTGGAAAAGGGATGGAGGGACAGGGCACAGCGAATGGTTTCCCAGTGCCAGAGGGCAGGGATGGATGGGATATTGGGAAGGAATTGTTCCCTGGGAGGGTGGGCAGGCCCTGGCACAGGGTGCCCAGAGCAGCTGTGGCTGCCCCTGGATCCCTGGAAGTGTCCAAGGCCAGGTTGGACTTTGGGGCTTGGAGCAGCCTGGGACAGTGGAAGGTGTCCCTGCCCAGGGCAGGGGTGGAATGAGATGGGTGTTAAGGTCCCTTCCAAACCAATTAAGTCTGGAATTCTGTGATATCACTTCCTGAGAAATGGGTACGTTGCAGCCATTGGCTACACTGACATTGCAGGACACCCCACAAAGTCCAGAGGAATGGCAGCAGTATTCAATTTGAAACACACAAATTGCAAGTTTAGGTTAAAACAGAGAATAAAATCAAACTGAAGACTGAAAAGCTGCAATTAAGGAATTAACTTAAAAATAGGGCAGTTACCTGTAGAGTTGTTTGAAAAATTCTTCAGCTGAATGTGTGATGCTGAAAATATTCTGGTGTACTAGAACTCCTCTGGAAATGGCCATTTGCTTGGATTGGTACACACAAAAACCAATTTTTTTTAGATTCCTACTTTTAAATAACAACAGTGTTTGCAGCTGTATTGTATTGATCAGCAGAATTCAAATTAAAATTAGTCTGTCACAAGGGTCATTTCCATCCTCCCAAGTGGTGTGGAAGAGGTGGAAGCAGCAGCAGAACAGGTGATGGGCCTTTACAACTGCTCCAAGTCCACTGGAGCTGCTCAGCAGTGAGGGAAATGCCTCCCAACGCATCCCCCTTAGCACAGCTCTCCCGATTCTCAGCCGTGACACTGGACAAGAGGTGTTGCTCTGTCATTGAGGGATCCTGAGGCCCAAAGTTCCCTGAAAATTCTGAGGTGATTTTTTTTTTGCATCTTTAAATGCAAAATAAATGGAAAAACAAAACAATACAGCGGTGTTGGTCTGCTGAGCTGCCCCTTGGCTAGGGAATTCTGCTCCATGAAGTCCCAGAATGGCTTGGGTTGGAAGGAACCCTAAAGCCCATCCAGTGCCACCCCTGCCATGGGCAGTGACACCTTCCACTATCCCAGGTTGCTCCAAGCCCCAAAGTCCAACCTGGCCTTGGACACTTCCCGCCCTCCCAGGAACAATTCCTTCCCAATATCCCATCTATGCCTGCCCTCTGGCACTGGGAAGTCATTCCCCTGTGTCCTGTCACTTCCCACTTTTGTGAAATTTCCATCTCCACCCTTCTTGCACATCCCTTGTAGGGACTGGAAAGGGGCTTTCAGAAAATTCCTGAACCTCTACTTCTAGAACATTCCTGAAAGCAGCAGATTAAGGGGATAAGGCACTACATTCCCAGCCTGCTCTCAGTGCCATGTCATGTGTTTATATTCACACCTGAGGGTGCTGTATCCCCTTCCAGGCAGAGAAGACCCTGGAGAAGACAGGATTAAATTTAGGGTTTCACCCTGGCATCACAGTATAAAGTTCTTTAGGAATTTAGCAACCTATTGTGTTTTTGGAGCACATAATATATTTTAAGAAAAGGGAAAAAAAAAGCCCTCAAACATTCTTTCTTTCAGGACTCAAATTACCAAAGACTTTGAATGAGCAGTGTTGAAGATTCAGTATCCTGCATAATTTTTGGCCAAAATTCTAGTTCCAAAAAATAACCTGGTGCCGTAATAATGATAAATTTGTATTCTAGGTATTTAAAAATACAAATTTGGCAACCATGCAGAGCTGAGAGCATCCAGCCCCTGCCATCAGCATCAATACAGACTTTTCAACTGCTTTAATTAACTCCTCCACTATTCTACTCCAGCCAAATTCTGGCCATGTGGAGTCTTTGTGAGATTAATAATTGACAATGAAACCACTGGATTTTCAACTGGACTGTCCCAAAGAGACAAGAACCAATTCCAGCCCCTCTGGTGCAGTCAGTGATAGATTTGGGGGGGATACACTGGAGCCCCAGCTCCCAGATTCCTTTTTACAACATAAATAGAGCTTAGGGAAGGGTCTGCTCATCCTGTGGTGCCTAGGGTTTATTCCCAGCCTAAAAACATCCCTTTTTTAAAAGCAGCCTTTCACAAAGGTTATTTTTCTATCACATGTCCAGCAGGAAGGAGCAGCATGGAGACAATTCCCTCTGCATAGAATAACATATATAATATTTCATAATGATATTATTAATAATATTTAGAAAACAATTCAGAGCCAATGCCTTTATACCCACTTACCCTAATCCTATAAAAGGAGAGAATCAGGAATCATTAAGGCTGGGAAAAGCCTTTAATATTCAAGTCCCACTGTCACCCCAGCACCACTACTAGCAGATTGGTTTGCACACCAGAAAGGAAATTTACTTTCTTACACACTGCTGAAGTTGCTTTTCTTCTCTTTGTGCTTATCCTGTAAAATCCTGCACTCCAAAACCACTACAGACACTCCAACTTTTTATTTCGGCTTCATTTGTCCCAGTCACAGAAGGAACATTGCGCTCATCCGAAGAATAATACCCAGAGACATGCCCCCTCTGACCCCAAGGACAATCTCCAGATCTCAGCACAAAAGGGCTTTTCCTGCAATTGTCAGCAATTCCCAGGGAAAGCAGGAGTTTACAGCTTTATCCACTGCATTAGAGAGCTTTGGAGAGATCCATTACCACAGCAACCCCGGGAGTTACGGAGAGCAGGAGCTCACTGAACCAGGGCTCCCTAGCTGCCAGGGCAAGTAGCAAGTTGAAAAGCTGGAGTTGTAGAAGCTTGGGTCTCTATTACCCAACTTAATAAAAGTGGCCTGCAGTTATTAATCATCCTGATTGCTCAGGAGGGAGGGTGGAACAGGCTCTGTGAACACTGCACCAAGCCCTTGGACACTCTCCCAGCAAAGCCAGACTGGCTGGACATGAAACAGGAGACAGGCAGTTGGTGGCAAATGTCCCCCTAATCTATTTATCTCATCAGATTGGATCTATTTAATCTAATTCAATAAATTCTGTTATCATCTAATCTACTCCATTTCTAAGTTTGCAGTTTAAAATTTGGAATGAAACATTACAGTGTGAAGAAGTGACAGAGAAAAAGGGGAGGGGAGGTGGAGTGGAGGGGTGAGAGCAAAGTGACCCCAAAATGTTCCTGTCAGAGAGGTAAGGGGTAAAGGACAAAGCAGCTCCAGCTGGACCTGTGACTCAGGAACATTTCATAAAAGGCAGGAAACCAAGTACCACCAACGGAGAGGGCTCAAGGGCAAGATCACTGCCACCACCCCAACAGTAAAACAGTCCAGTCAGCTGAAATTAGACTTAATTCAGTAATTATCTAGCAAATATCATAAAGTGCGCATCGGAATGTGACTTCTGTGGGAAAAGTAACAAGACTGAGTGATTTATACCCTGCAGCTGAGATGTGCTCATTTTTTACCAATTCAGGGACAGAGGAGAAGAAAAAACAACCGCAGGGAAATCATCCACATCTGAAACACTTCCCTGAAGAGAGAACTGTGTGTTCCAGCTACCAGATACAAAATTTATTGTCTCATATACTATGATTAGACATAAAATCTTATGTGATGCACAATGTACATGTACTGTATATTATGATCTATAATTTACAGCAGTATTTACAGCTGTAGTATTTTATAACATCTCTTTTAAGTGCAGCACAGTTTCTGTGCATTAAGTAGAGCGCCTTTGAAGAATGATGGCAGTCAGCTTTAGATATGCAAACCATTAAGTTGGAAGGTTCACCGTTCATACTCCAAAAAAGTCCCTCAGCAATAACTCCAAGAATCAACACTTGATTCTACATTTGGGTTTTCAGGGAAAAACCTGCCTGACCACTTCTGCATTGTATTAGAGGGTTCAGCATACATCTTCCTTACCTGGGGAACTGCCTCCTTCTTTTCAGAGCATAAAACTGACTGAGAAAAGCATGGCTGAAGTGAGGGGAGGGACCCTGGGGAGCTGCACAAGGAAGACTTGGGGATCCTGATATCCCAGGGGCAGCAGGAGGAGCATTCCCAGCAGGGCAGGGAGGGATCCTGCCCCTGTGGGCAGCCCTGGAGGCAGCTCTGGAGTGCTGTGTCCAGCTCTGGCTCCTCAGCACAGCAGGGCCAGGGAGCTCCTGGAGCGGGGCCAGCGGAGGCTGCGCAGCTGAGGAAGGGCCTGGAGCATCTCGGTGCCCAGGAAAGGCTGAGGGAGCTGGGGCTGCTCAGCCTGGAGAGGAGCCCCAGCTGAGAGGGGCCCTCAGGCCTGGCTGGCCCTGGCTGCAGGGAGGGCTCCCAGCAGGGCCCAGCCTCTGCTCCGGGGGCCCAGCAATGGCACCAGAGCCACGGGCAGGGCCTGATGGCAGCAATTCCCCCTGGCCAGGAGGCACAACTTCTTCCCTGGGCAGTGCCCAGCCCTGAACACATTGGCCAGAGAGGCTGTGGGCTCTCCTGCCTGGGGCTGTGGCAGAGCTGTGTGCACACAATGCTGTGCCCTGTGCTCTGGGATGGCCCTGCTGGAGCAGGGAGGTGGCACCAGCTGCCCACTGAGCTCCCTTCAGTCTCAGCCATCCTGGGATTATCTATATTTGATTCAAACTCTCATTTTAAGCCACTCCACTATTCCAGTTCAGAGGAACTGATGTGATATCTCACCTATACAGGAGGGTATAGAGGAATTTACTTCCCAAGACAGTTCTCTTCCCTGCAGGATGGGAGAAGCTCAGGTATCTCATGGCAGTGGGACTTATCTGACTTTAGGCAGAGCTTTAACTGGCCATCACGTGAAAACCAAAGAATTAAATGCTCTGATAACCACTTTGGCTGTTTTATTCCACTTGAATTTCAGGAGTGGGATTTGATGATGCCTCAGGGTTGCTTCCAATGGAGGATATGCTATGATTTCATTAAATGCTGTTCCTGGCCCAGCAAACAAGCACTCCCTGAAACTTCCATATTTAAAGAACACGCTGGTGTCTTTCTCCACCAAGTCTTCTGAATGAGAGGAGCATACAATGAATTTTCCATGAAGCCTCAGCCTATTTTCTCTACTCTTCCTGCAGCAGACAGGAAGGGGTCTCTCTGCACAGCCATAAATTGAGCAAGAGACATGGCCAATGGGACATTGATGTGCAGCCCAGAGAATATGAAAAGCTTGATTAAATTAAAGCAGTTGGAGGAAAACACTGAATGACTGCAAAAGATCCTACTGGAAGCATCAGGGAAGACAAGTCCTATGTATCCCTCAATAAACTCCCAAGCCAAATAGTGACGCTTTCAATCTTTTCTTCCCTGCTTTGCTCCTATTATGTGGACCATTAACTCCCACCCGTCTCTGCCTGTGCTGAGTGTGGAAAAACTGAACTATATAATTCTTAATACCTCATAACTCCTCATGGAAATGACAGAACCTGGTATAACTTTTCCTCCAAAGTTGTTTAAACCACTATTTATTTTATTGTGAAAAATCACTGTAATTCCACAAATGACCCATGTACCCCTTTCCTTAACATGCCCCATCGCCAACCATTAAATGTTAAATGTTATATTTTCAGGGATTAATATTTGCCAGAATGAGAGGAGAAAGGGCTGAGTAGCCTGTGTAGTGACTAATTTAATTCACAGAACACAGAATGGTTGGTACTGGGATGGGATCCTAAGGATCATCTTGTTCCAGCTCCCCTGCCACTGACAGGGACACCTGTCACTAGATTGGGTTGATGATAGTATTTTTATCTGTTAATTAATTATACATTAAATTATTATAAATTACTGCATTATTTGAAGTGGCAAAATTACTTCGGTCTGAGATTCCAAATAATTTGGTTTCCATTTGCCTGTGGTTGCACACAAAAAATTTGCAAATTCTTATTTTGTTTTTGTGGGCTGCACAAATTATTAAACCTGTATAAAACAGGGAGATGATAATCTTTTAAATTGAGGAGGGAAACATGAGAAATTTGAAGACAGCGCTGAAATAAACAGATTCCTCTGTGAAACAGACCTTTGTACACTGCTATAAAATTATTTTTTGAGATATTTGTTCTCTGCAAATATTTTGAGGAATGAATGGGCCAATTTGAAAATAAGTTGATGTAATTCTGGCGAAGGCTGTCCTTAAAAACGTATTCTTAGAAGAGAAATTCTCCAGCTACACTGACCTGCCCAAGGTGTTTGCAAAGGCAAAGACTTACCAAGCTGATTTGGAGAACTCAAAACCTGATAGTATTGTGGGTTTTTTTTAAACTTTGTACTCATTCCAAAGCTTTGTTCACTGTGAAATACAGAATAGCAGAATGGTTTTGCCTAGAAGTGACCTCCAAGGTCACCAAGTCCAACTATCAACCACCACCACCCTGTTCACCCCTAACCCAAGTTCCTCATTGGATGTTTGCCAATTGGAATGTACTAATTCCGAGTGGTTTTGAAAACTTGCAGGCATGGGGACCCAACAGTTGCCCAGACAGCCCCTTCCAATGCTGAAACCACCCTTTCCATGAAGAAGTTCTCCCTAAAATCCAATCTAAACCTCCCCTGGTGCAGCCTGAGGCTGTTTCCTCTCCTTCTGTCACTTGTTACCTGAGAAAAGAGCTTGACTCCACCTCAGAAAAGCCTCCTTTTAGGAAATTACTTCTATTTCTAGGCAATTTCTTCTTTCAGGAAGTTAATTATATTCCTAGGCAATCCTTCCTTTCAGGAAGTTATTCCTTGTTCCAGGAAGTTCAGTCCCTGTGAGTTCAGCCCATTGCCTGAACTATTTTGTTAGTGGTTCTGACGTTTGAATCTCTCAGAGCCAACGTATACCTGGCCCAAAACAGAGGGAGAAAAGGGGAATATGTCCCAAACCTCTGGGAGCAAACCCATCAGGAATTTTTCCTAGCCAAGTAAAGACGTGAGGGACTCAGAAACTTTTCCAACGACTGTTGGACCATCAACCCCAAGGTATTTCAAATTCCATGGACAACAGCAAGCAGGATGGACCAGACCTGTGGGAATCTGATACATGCCACCCATCATTGATTGAAGTGACAAAAAAAAGGGACAAAGATTGGTTATAAACTATTTCCTACAGCATTTTCTAGCCCATAATGGCTAATTGCATGACAGCAAGTAGATGAAATTGTCAGTGGGTTACAAAAGGAAGCCAGAAGTGCAAACCTGACCCCTGGAAGCTGCTGCTGAGGTGATGTCTGGGGGCTCTTACTGACCAAATAAAAATCCTCCCTCACTCCCTGATTGATTGATGGCAATCCCAAAGCCAGGGAATTGTCTGATGTTTGGAGAGGAAATAAATCGATTACCCAATGAGTTGGTCTTTGTTTTGCTCCACGAGGGTGGGAGGGACATTGGAGACGATCACTTGCATGTCCAGCTGATTGACCACAGAGACCTGGAAAGAAAAGAGGGAAATTTGAAGGGCACTGCCAGACACAGCCCCCTCCCCATCCAACAGCAGTGGAAAAATTCCTTTCCTGCCTTCATGCTATGACCTGATATCCAGATTTCTCCTTTTAATTCCAAATAGGAGAGCTGGGAAATCTTGCAGCCAAACCCATAAACATCAAAGATTTAACTGGAATTGTAATTCCAGGTCCGCATCAGAATTATGGATTTTTAAGGTGAGGACAGTAAAAGCTGCTCTTAGTTTAGACTCGACTTAGAGAATCCCAGATCTCCCATGGGCTATATTCAAAATTACTTCTGAGAATTTGGGTGGTTTGGATGCCAGGAAAATCCTCCCTTGGAGCCATGCAATGTGCACCAAGGGAAATGGAATTTCAGGATTATCTCCACAAAATCAATGCTATGTTAGAAAATCAGAAAGGAAATTGTTCATTTACATTGAAGCTGTCAGTGAGAGGTTTTATTTTAATCTCCCATTGTTTTAGCTTCTCCTATCATAAAACAGCACATTTTACAACTGAGCTTCTTTCTTAAAAAAAAAAAAAACCAAAAAGAAAAGGAAAAACAAGCAGGGAAAAAATGCTTCTAATCCACTCAATACTTGTGTGCCTCGTTGGAATAAAATTAAATTTCAATTTTCCACCGAGGTATGGAGTGACCTCAGAGCAAATATCTGGCAATTATTGATTTTACTATGAACCCAACATCACTCTAATCCTGTAGAGGATTCTGGAGGAAAATTTGGAAAACTAGGCCAATGTTTAAGATGATAAATTTAAAAATCAAGGGTTAGTTGATTCTAAAAGAAATAAACAAGCCCTGATTTTCCAAAGAGGAGCCCTGGAAGCACAGCAGCAGAAAAGCCTGAATGTGCTTCCACATCAAACACTGATTCACCAGCTTTGAAGCTTAATTCAGCTTTAAATATTTAAATGTTCTTGAAATGTCATCAGATGCCCTGATCAGCACGTACAGGCTTCTGTGTAAGAAACACAGAATTATAATGAGCTCCAAATAAATTTTAGACTAAAATCATGCAACGGAACTGGAAAGCAATGATTAATTTAATAGAATTAATTACATTAGCCAATTCAAGCAACCACAGTGCACCCAGGAACTGAAAACAGAGTAAAGGCAACACCAAAAACAAAGGGAGTAATTCTTTTAATATGGAAGAAATCACAATTATCATCACTTGTTCATGTACAAAACCAGGGATAAACACACATTCATGACAAGCTATAGGAAACCAAGGGTGTTGGACAAAAATCAAGCGACATTTGAGGTTTCCATGGTAACATTAACTTGCTTGTTATCCCCATCTGTAAAGGCAGGCAAAGCAGAAAATTGTTGGTAACCTCTAGCCCATGAATGATATCCCTTTGATCCTAAGCTTCACTCATTAGGCACTTCCCAAGTTTTAAATCCAGCAAGGCAGAGCCTACAAAGAGTCTTGACAGTGATATGGCACCAATGGACTCCTGGGAATAGCTGGGACCTGAATGAGGAGGGACCTTAAAACCTCCTCAAACCCCAATAAACCTTTGATTAAAGATGATATCCTTGATTTCAAATAGTGATAATGAATATCCACTACCTACACTTCCTCAGCACCTTTTGGTGCTTCCTTGCAGCAAACTCATTTTAAAATGTAATTCTTGTATCTCTTTAATCTCACAGATGCTGAGAAGGAAAACTCCATCACATGGAAGCAAACTGTCAACGCACAGGTGTCTGACTTGAGCCATCCTGGTGTCCTTCCCATGGATTGTCTCCACCAGCATGAAGACCTCTGACTATGTGATTTGGCAGGTCCTGCTGCTCCCAGAGCTGTGCCAGGCTCTGGGGAAGTATCCTGGTCCCAGTTCTAGAGAACACCTTGGTCTGCTTAGCTTCTTCCCAGCACTGTCCCACTAGTGGTGACTTGCCTCTTCTCCCGAGGCCTTCTCCCAGTGCAGTCCTATCTTCTTCCCCCACATCTTGTTCTTTTGCATGGGAGTAATTAAATTAATTTCTCTGTTCTCTGTACACTTTTTGGTCTGATTTGGAAAGAACTAACACCCAAGAACCTGAGGCCCTGACCCCAGTGCAGGAAAATCCTGTTAAAATTATGGGAAAGGATCTTAGTCTATAGATTCACACTTGGTGCATAACAACAGAGAATCCCAGAATGTCCCTGAGGGAAGGAACCTTTAAGCCCACCCAGTGCCACCCCCTGGCATAGCCAGGGACCTTCCACTATCCCAGGCTGCTCCAAGCCCCAGTGTCCAACCTGGCCTTGGTCACTGCCAGGGATCCAGGGGCAGCCACAGCTTCTCTGGGCACCCTGTGCCAGGGCCTGCCCACCCTCCCAGGGATGGTGGGATATTCCTTCCCAATATCCCATCCATCCCTGCCCTCTGGCACTGGGAAGCCATTCCCCCTTGTCCTGGCACTCCATCCCTCGGAAATTGTCTCCCTCTATTTCTCGTCGACTCCTTCAGGCACTACAATGCCACAACGAGGACACCCCGAAGCTTTTCCTCTCCAGGCTGAACAATCCCAATTCTCCCAGCAGAGCTGCTTCATCCCTCTGATCATCCTGGTGCCTCCTCTGTACTCATTCCAACAGGTCCAAGTGCCAGTGTTCTGGCAGGATAGGGTTGGTCTGGATTCTATCTCCAGCTCCTCCAAGCTTCCAGGCCTTGCTCAAAGCAACTGGGTGCTCATCTGCTCATCACTCAGCCAGACATAAAGAAACCTCTATAAATTAATGAGACATCCTTCACTATCTAATGTTAATGTCGATTCCTTCTGGCTATATTTTATTATCCCATTAGTGCCTAAATTACCTGAGAGTGCCCCATCATTTTCAGAGGTCAAGTTTGAGGGCACCATTGTTTATGTTTATTTGGTGAATTCCTGCAGAACTCACCACACATAGGATTCTGTCTCTCATCTGTATCCTTTGACAGTGTTCCCATGAAGTGGATAATGCACTCCATCCCTTTCACATTATGCCAATATTGAGCCAATCCATCAAGTTTATAGGCTTTAAGGAAATTTAGCTTGGATGGTTTCAGTGGCTGGACTAAGTCAATGTTCTTAGAGTAGCACAAACCCATGAGCCTGAGGCCTAAAGATGGTGCCAGTTCTGAAATGCTGCTTTCTCAGGGACTGAAAACTTAATTCTCAGCCCAAAATTATTCCTTAACATAACCAACTAAGACAACTTAAAGCTCATCCAGTGTCACCCCTGCCATGGCCAGGGACACCTTCCACTATCCCAGGCTGCTCCAAGCCCCAAAGTCCAACCTGGCCTTGGACACTTCCAGGGATCCAGGGGAAGCCACAGCTTCTCTGGGCACCCTGTGCCAGGGCCTGCCCACCTTCCCAAGGAACAATTCTTTCCCAGTATCCCACCTAACCCTCCCCTCTGGCACTGGGAAGCCATTCCCCCTTATGCTGTCCCTCCATCCCTTGGAAATTGTCTCTCTGTATTTCTTGTCGACTCCTCCAGGCCCTGGAAGGCCACAGTGAGGTCACCCCAAAGCTTCTCCTCTCCAGGCTGAACAATGCCAGCTGTCCCAGCCTTTCCTCCCAGCAGAGCTGCTCCATCCCTCTGATCATCCTGGTCTCACTCCAGCAGGTCACAAAATCTTTTGGTTTAAGAAAAGAAAAGCTTTATTCCAGTGCCTTCAAAAAATTAAGGACACGCACTTTATGGCTTTTCTCTAGGTCTGCCTGGAATTAAACTTTCTGCCATTTTGAATTTCCTCAGGAATTATTCCATAACAATAAGCCCTGGCTGATACTTACGAGCACTTCTGCTTTGCTGCTCAGTCCTTTGCCGTAATCGTCAGTGGCAATGACCTGGAACTTGAAATAGGATCTCCTCATGTTTTTGAAGAGCATGGCAGTTTTGATCAGCCCCGTGTAAGCCTCGATCACAAAGCCTTCCTTGCCATCCTTGATGGGGGGAATGATGAGCCTGTATTGCATGGCACTGTAATTCCCAGTGTCCTTATCATCAGCCTAATGGGGAAAACCAAACAAGCAGAGGCAAACAAGGTAAATATGCATGGAAGGAGTCATTAACCTTGTCCTTTATTTAAAGTTACATCTTGGCCCAGAAAATTTCTGCCGCTCTGACATTTAAAACATTAGATCCCAGAGCACAGACACGGCTGCTACTTTAAATGCTTCATTTAACTTTGCTGCACTCAGTTTTGCTTTTCCAGCAATTTCTTCCTCCTCTGTTGGCATTAAACTACTCCAGAAAAAAGAAAAAAAAAGAAATTAAAAAGTAGAAAAAATATAAGTTGACTTTCAAGTCTGCAACAATACCCAAGAACTGCTTAATTCTGAGAAACTTCTGCTGCCAAATTTTCATTGAAAAGGAAATATCAAAGAAAAAACTATCTCAGCAACTTGTGCACAGATATACCCAAGAACGTCCTTCATCTTAGAAATATTCTGATGGAGCACAGGTATTTTTGGGGCAATCCAGTAACTTCTTATTAAAATAAGGAAGGATTGAGTGGAGTTCTTGCAGTGGTGCACAGGGACCTGCTGGGCACCCCAGTTCAGGACACAGAGCTGCCCTGGCACCATTGCTGAATTGGATCAGGATGCAGTGGCATCAAACCAGGCAGCCCCAGGAATTGTTATTCCACCTTCCCTGCTCCTGACTACCCTGGGTAGCCCCATCCTGGCCTCTCCAGCCCCATTCCTTATGCTCCTGTTCAACCTGTATCCACAGGGAAGTGTTTCGAAGGACCCAAACAAAGCTTTCCCATGCTCCTTCCAGGAATCAGCAAGGTGGGAACTAATTAATGCCTGAGCGCTCATTAGTCTTGGGCAAGGCCTCAGCACTTGAGACACTTCAGAATTTATCAGCAGGATTTTATGGAAATATTGGCACCGCTTCTGAGGCCTGGTGCTTAAGCTAATGCTGGAATAAAAACCAGCCTTAACTTTGAAAAGGTGCATGTAAAATCCATGTAAAATCCATACTGTGCCACAACTTAAGAATGAAACACAATAAGGGTTTGTGTCAGCATGAAGAGTTTGTGGAATCATGGAATATCCTGAGCTTGAAGGGACTCATAGGGATCACTGATCCAGCTCTTGTTCCTGCCCAGACCCCCCAACAATCCCAGCCTGTGCATCCCTGGCAGCGCTGTCCAAACGCTCCTGGAGCTCTGGCAGCCTCAGGCTGTGCCCATTCCCTGGGGAGCCTGGGCAGTGCCAGCACCCTCTGGGGGAAGAACCTTTCCCTGATCTCCAGACTGACCCAGCTCCAGCTGTTCCCTGAAGTCCTGTCCCTGGTCACAGAGAGCAGAGCACAGAGCTGTTTATGAGAAACCACAGCTGCTAAAAGAGAATTATCTGTGCAAGGTCATTAAGTCTTCAACAGGGGGCCATTAATCATCATTAATTGTTTCCTCACCAGCACTGAACAAGTTCTATATGGTAGAAATTGTCCCTTCTGGTTTTTTTTTTTTCATTTTCAGATAGTTTTTCAGGGAATACCAGCCCAGATGAGAGATCCAGTTACTCAAAATTGTGTATGCTGCATGCTACTCCAACTCCTATCAGCCCAGGTTCCCAGACAGAACCATCCAGCACTTAAAGGATAATATCCAGGCTGGTTTAGCTGGAAAGAGCAAACAGGTTTCATTCAGAGCTGTACCAAAGATGAGCTCCTGGAATGACACTGGCTGTTACTCGTCATGGACACTGGCTAAATTCCCACTCTCTCTCAATATTTTGCTTTCTTCTAAATTCACAAGGCTTCATCTGGCTCGACTACCAAAAGCATAAATATCAAATGTGTGAAGTTGTTTTTGTTCTCCAGCTCCGCAGTTTTTTTTTAAAGTCTTTTAAAACCGAGATTGCTGCCTGCTGGGTGAGCTCAAACCCCTTTATTAGCTATTTTAGGAAAGATGGGAAGGTTAAAAAGCTTTCTGAAATTTACTTTGTTTTGTCAGAAAAATAAAGATATCAGTGGGCTTTTCCAGAGCATTCCAGCTGGCTCAGGAAAATACAACCCCATGACATCGCAGAGCCAGCAGATGGGAGCTTGACAGGTGGAGAGTTAGCAAAGTTGTTGGCTTTCCACATAAATAAATTGCTGAAGGAAGAAATGAATGTGGAAACATGCTACGTCATAGAATCATGGAATTTTTAAGGCTCGAAAATACCTCCAAGATCACCCAATCCAACCTTTGATCATCACCTTGTCCATTTAAATGACATTGTGCAGTGCCACATCCACTCCTTCCTTGAGCCCTTCCAGGGCTGCTGGCTCCACCATTCCCTGGGCAGCCCCCTTTCCAATGGCCTGCCACTCTTTCATGAAGAAATATTTCCTAATATCCAACCTGAACTCAAGGAAGCAGCTGCAGAGAAAGACCAGCTTGATGTTTGAATGGTGAGAAACAAAGACAAAAATTAAAGCAGCACCTCGGCTGTGCCTGGAGTGCCAGGACAAGGGGGAATGGCTTCCCAGTGCCAGAGGGCAGGGATAGGTGGGATATTGGGAAGGAATTGTTCCCTGGGAGGGTGGGGATGCCCTGGCACAGGGTGCCCAGAGCAGCTGGGGCTGCTCCTAGATCCCTGGAAGTGTCCAAGGTGAGGCTGGAGGAGCTTGGAGCAGCCTGGGACAGTGGAAGGTGTCCCTGCCCATGGCAGGGGTGGGAATGGATGGGATTTAAGTTTCCTTCCAACCCAAACCATCCTGAGATTCCAGGATAAATTCAGCTCATACAACACAGCTCAGGATAAAGCCATGACCAATCCAGAAAAGTCCTGCCTGGCCGAACCCTCTAGTTTATCCACACTCAGCTTTGCATGTTGATAATGGAGCTGGGGGGGAAAGAAAAACAAAATTCCTGTAACCCCACATGGCACTTGAGGGACCCAGCAGCAGCCACAGGAGCAATGTCTGATCCAGCTCCTTTGGCGTCATCCGTGATTGAGCCAAGTTTTCCACTGAGTGCCCAGTGAAGTCCAAAGGCTCCCTAGAGGTGCCCTGGAGAGGAGCATGACGCCCTTCCAATAAAAAGCCAATTTCTTTGTTAAAATGGATTTATGAGGTTGGTTCAGCTGGGTCAGAAGCCCATCATATTTTTAATATTGGCAAATTCTCTCTCAATAAAAGCTACGGCTTTTAATAGTCACTGCTTTCAATGACACCAGAAATCAATTTCACCTTCAGCATTTCATGCCTGGAGACGTGTGTGACTAAAAACAAACAAAATTTGGATCCAAATTAAGGTATTGATGCTGCAGGCACAGGCATTAAATGAAGTCAGGCCTTCTGCACAAAGCCCAGGGCACTGGAGCTCAGCGCTAATAAGATGTTTAAGTCTTGCAGCTGAGTTTAAGGCATTAAACTCCAGTGAAAGAGGCCTTTTGACATTTGAAGCTCACAGCTTGTAAAATCCTGCAGAGTTCAGGTGCCTCGAGCTGGTGGATAGGCTCTGAGTTAATTGTCACCAGTTCTGAGAGCTCAGTGCCACCCCAGAGCCATCAGCAGCCTCAGCATCATGACAGTTCAGGCTCTTTCCACATGCACCCAGAGATGAGCAAACAGGTGCCAAACATCCTGGAAAAATGATCAGATTCCAGCTTCAGGTATTTGAACTTGTTTGCATTGCCCCCTTTCTCTGCTCTTTGGATCAAACCTAAGGACACTTGGCTTGGCAGGACCAGCAGAGAGAGCTTGTGAGCTGCTCCCAGGAACATCCCAAACTTCTCTAATACAGAGGAAGGATGTTTGCTACTCCTGTAATTTTTCGTGAAGGTAAATATTTTTGACACTTCATTAGGAAGAGATCTATGACATCTCAAGAGTTGCATTATGACTGTCAAAGAAGAGAAAGAACTGCACTTAATCTTAATATTCCAGCAGCATATCTGCCTTTTGTTCTGTGCAAGAAATACAGATGTCTCCTATATCCTGCTGTGATTGAGGGCTGATAAATATGGATGATCTCAGGAATTACCAGGCCAAATTCCAGCCTCCTGTGATTGAGTGTAGGTGTGCCCACACAAAGGGATTTGGGTCACCGCTGACTCCAGCCCTTTCCCAGCCCCTCCCACGGAGGAGGATGAGGCAGAAATCCTGGGGTGCTCCCTAATCCCAGCACAAAAGCACTGAGGATATTTTTACTCAGAGGGAGGTGAGGCCCTGGCACAGATTTCCCAGAGCAGCTGTGGCTGCCCCTGGATCCCTGGAAATGTCCAAGGCCAGGTTGGACTTTGGGGCTTGGAGCAGCCTGGGATGGTGGAAGGTGTCCCTGCCCACCTGGCACTGGGTGGGCTTTAAGGTCCCTTCCAACCCAAACCATTCCTTTCTCTCTGTGATCTACCCTTTCTTTTTCTCTCCTTTGTAAGAAGGTCCAACAAATGATACCTTTAAAGCATAATTAATTTACCTCTGGCTCCATGTGACTGCACAAGCACAGCTTGATGGCAGGACACCCAGGGAGGCTGGTAAACCCCACTCGATGTGACAGCAGCACTCTGACCCTGCCACCAAAAATCACCAGTGGCATGTTTGGGATGAGCACAAAAATCATCAGTGACTGTAACTCCTGAAGCTGCTGCATAATCATTGATGATCCCAGTTTTTAGCATCATCAGCCTGAGCTAAATCCAGATTTGCTGCTCAGAGTGAAATGCAATTGTTAATTTGAAATATTTTCCACCTCCCTCATAGGGTCACCCTTAACCACAAGCCCGAGGCTGTTAACAGGGCATGGAAAATGGTAGGATTGGGATTGAGCTGCTGAGGGTTTTTTTCCCTCTTCCTAGCAGATGGCAGCTTCAATGTTCCCAATTAGTGGCTGGCATATAAAGCAGCTTTTAGAACTAGGCCGCTTTTGCCGATAGAAATTTCCAGATTGTTGCAGATTTTCAGTTCTGACGGCACAGCTGCCACTGGCCTGTTTTAGGGAGGTTTCACTGGATGTTCTACAGACACACAGGCCTGGAAATGTGGGGTAGCTGTTGCAATTTTCCTTTAT